TTTCTTATTCTTTTCTGTTTTAAATTAAATGATAGTTCTTTTATTTAAATTAATAGTTATCAAATTAAATAATATCATTATTTAACTTGGAAGAGTGGTTGTATTTTTATCACAATTAAAAGTAGTTTTAATGATGTATTTAAATATTAATATATCAATTATTCATATAATTCAATATATTAACATTATCAATATAATTATAATTGATTGAAAACAATGTATTTGAAATATTACAATCAAATATGATGACATTAAGAATATTGAAGTAGATATTATAAGTATAATTATTATTAATGAAGATGATATTTATTAACTAACTCTACTTCTTTCTTATAATAGAAATGTATAAAATAATAAATATAATAATACTACAAATGAAATATATATCAATTATTAATTAATCAAATGAAAATAATGATATATTAATTAATCAATAAAGATAAAAAGTAATGAATAAACTATGGTAAATTGAAAATAATGAAAAATGAGAAGAAAATAATTGAATGAAACAACATACTGTAATAATATTGATAAAGAGAACTAAATTGAATTAGAACATTATTAGAAATAAAAGAAAATTATTTTTTTTTAAATAATTATAACATTAACGTAATTAACTAACTAATACTTAACAGATTTCAAATCTATTTCTTAATAGTATTTAAACCATTTGATTATAATAACTTTTTATTTTTCTTCTTCATTTATTATAAAATTTGTTTTTCATACATAAAGCAAAACTGTAATACCAAATAATAAAACTGAGGTACCGTATCATTTTTTTTTTGACTATGTTACTTTTTCGAAGCATACCCTCTTTCTCTTCTTTTTTTTGTAATTAAAAAGTTTTATAAATTAGATAGTTTATTAAAAAAGAATGATGTTTTATTCTTATATATAGAGCTATGATGTTTGAATGATTTTGAGGAAAACATAAAAAATATATTTTTATTTTAAAAGCATTGAAAAGGAAAACGAAAGAAGTCCAACCCAATGTACCAGGAATTAAAGAAACTAATTATAATACTTAATTAATTTTTTTTTATTAAAAATATTAAAAAGCTAAAAATAATAATAATCACAAATAAAAAAAAATTCTGCAACAAGAAATAAAAAGGTTTGAACTCAAAAAAATAAATGGCTGAAGACTTATTTATTGGTATCGACTTTGGTACCACATATTCTTCTATTGCGTATTGTATTGGAAAGACAGGAAAAATAGAAACAATTAAAGACGAAAATTCAGAACAATTTATTCCATCAACAATGGAAATAGTTAATGATAGAGAAATAATAGTAGGGGCAAACCCACTAAAAGAAACCGAAGAAAGACAAATACTAAGTGACAGTAAAACATTTCTTGGAAAAAGATTACAAGGAATTCAAAAAGAACAAAAATTTATAGAAAAGGGAGGGGAATTATGGTACAGAGTAAATGGATCAAAAAAAATAATTGCTGTTAAAACAGTTGCACAATCAATTTTAAAAAAATTAAAAGATTTGTATTGTGAAAAATTAAAAATTGATAAAAATACAATTATTAATCCAGTCATTACTATTCCTGCTGGATTTAATCAAAAACAAAGAAAAACTATTTCACAAATTGCACAAGAAATTAATATTAAACCTATATTTGTTCATGAACCAACAGCAGCTGCATTATATTATTTAGATACAACCAAAGATAAAATCGAAAAACCTACTAAATTATTAGTTTTTGATTTTGGCGGAGGAACATTAGATATTACCTGTATTGAAATGAAATTAAACACAGAAGGAAAATTTGTTTTTGATATTCTTTGTACAAATGGAAATAATGAACTTGGTGGAAATAACTTTGATGATAACTTATATAATATGATTATTGAAAAAATCGACAAAGACTATAATATTGAAAGTTCAACACTTAATTCAGAAATTAAAACTAGTTTAAGAAAACGTGCAATTAACGCTAAACATGAGTTAAGTAAATGTGATGAGACTACAATTTTAATATCAGATTTGATTAGTTTTAATTCTGAAAACTCATATAATATTATTTTTGAGGATAATATTTCTGAGGATAGTATTTCTGAGGATAGTATTTCTGAGGATAGTATTTCTGAGGATAGTATTTCTGAGGATGTGACAATTAAAATTACAAGAAAATATTTTGATGATATTAATTCATCTGAATACCAAAAAGCTATGAAATTACTTGATGATGCATTAGATATGGCTAAATTAAAAAGTATTGATATTGACAAAGTTTTACTTGTTGGAGGTTCTTCATATATTCCAAAAGTTAAAGAACTAATACAAGAAAAATTTGGAAAAGAAAAAATTATTCAAGGAATTGATCCATTAACTGCTGTAGTTTTAGGTGCTGTAGTTTGTTCAAGGGAAAAGAGTATTACAATTAATGAAGTTTTACCAAAAGATATTAAAATAGAAAGATTTGATGGAACAACAATAACTATTTTTAAAGCTAATGAAAAATTACCATTAAAAAAAACAATACCAATAACACCTAGTGAAGACAATGTTGACAGTATTAAAGTATCATTATATGAAGGAAATTATTCAGTTGCAAGTATGAATGATCTAATTGATGAAATCGTATTCAGTAATTTAGCAAAAGTAAGTATTGAAGAAGCATATATTGAAATAACATTTGAATGTGATAGATCTGGAACATTAAAAATAACTGTGATTGATTTTAATAACTGTTTTGAACAAAAAGTTCACATTAGATGTAAATTAAAATTCGAGGAAAAACAAGAACTTCTTAACCCTGTAGAAGAACATTTAAAATTTATTAATGAAGACAACAAAAACTTTCTTGATGTTGCAATTATTCCTGTAGATTCAGAAGAAACATATTGTATTGGAACAATTTCATATAACTAAAATGAAAAGCACAAAAAACAATCCTATTAATAAAAGGGCATTTGTTCAAGTAAGTGATATTCATAATTTGTTATATAATAAGCAAATAAAAAAGATCTACTCTAACTAAATTGTAAATAGCATATCTCTACTTTAGTTTATTATTTATTTATTGTATGATAATAAGATTCTCTCCTCATTTCTTTACTCTTTAAACAATGAATAATGAATGAAAGCAACAACATTAAAGTAATAGGTATAGAAAAACTACTATAAAATTAGGTTAAAAATGAAAGTTATTATTTTTATTAACACATAATTAATTATTTAAAAAAAATTAAAACCTTTTTAAAACTAACTATTGTATCATTTAATTCATCAAAATATCAAATTGAACAAATAGAAGAATGGACAAATAGAAAAGTAAGAAATATACTATTTGTTTCAGAAATTGATAATTGGAATAAGGATACGTCAGTATTTAAACAAAAAATAAAAAAACATATAATAATTATTATTGAAGATGAAGATAGAAATAAATTTGGAGAATATGTTAAAATGAAAATTGATAAAGTTAGAGAATGGATAAATGACCCAAAATCATTTTTATTTTCATTAGAATCATGGAAGAATACAAGGAATGATGAAATTTGATATTAAACAACCATAATATGCATTTTGTTTATCCAATTAATCATGTAATTGATTGTTTCAGTTTGGAAATGATGAATATAAATCAATTAGATGTGATATTGTTGTTTTTAAAGAAAATATTAAAACAAAGTCATGGTGTTATCAATCTTCATTTGAATACAAAGGAATATCAAATTTAATTTATGGAAAACAATACCCAGAATATTTCACACCACAACGAATCATTGTAATTGAAATGAATTGAATTTTATGGATTATGTTTTACTTGGATAGGAAATCTTTTTTAGACGCAAAGTATAATATAACAACTAATTATATTACTTTTGCTATTGAGTAATGTCTTGGTTCTTGTAAAGAAAGCAAACAAAACATTAACATTCAATTAGATATAGAAGAATAAGTATCAATAACAATAAATTGTATAATAAAAATGGTAAAAGAAATATAGTGGAAAAGTGAATTAAAAAGAAATAAGAAAGAAAAGTGAATAAGAAAGGCATGAATAAATATAATGAAAATAGTGTTAACTCAATAAGAAATATAGAATAATAACAAAGAAATGAGATTAAAGTGAAAATAGAAATCAGTTGAAAAAGAAGAAAAGAAGAAACAAATAAAAATAAATGATAATGAAATGAAATGATAAATACAACAAAAGTATATTTAATCTAAAATAAATGATAATAAAGAAACTTAAAAATTAATTAAAGAAAAAAAAAACAAAAGAAAAGAATAAATAAAGATAATAATCAAATCAAGAA